CACACACACACACACAGCCCTTACCCCCAGCTGTAAGCTGTCAGTTCCTCTTATCTGTACAACACACACACACCGACACACACACAGACACACACACACACACACACACACACAAACTGCTCTTTTAGCTGGCATGCTGATGAGCGTCGCCTGCGTCTCTTGGCTGCCTGTCACCAGTCTGCCACCCATGAGCACCAATCAGATGTGATTGGCCTGACTGACAGGGCTCTCTTCATCACACTGACAGTTAACCCTGCTGTGTGTTCACAGAGATGTTGGTAAAATGCCTCCAGAAAGTTGTCTTTCTTCCTTCTGTCTCAGTTTCTTTTAATCTTTTATTTACCTTTTGCATTGCCTATTTTGCAGCTCCACTTTGTCCATCTGTCTGCTCCCATGTTTCTCATTTTTCCTTCCTTTTAAGCTGCATCATAGTGAACACTTTAACTGATCATAGCCCAGTAATCTCTGTTGTTAATGTGTCTCATCTATGGTACCGTCTGTGTCACTGCGATTATCATCTACCCAGTTCTCTTGCTGTGTCAGCAGTTGACGCATTTAGTTTTTTTTCCCTCATACAAAACCAAAGTTTATCTCGAAACCCGGCAATAGTTTCTGTTGATACAATGACTGATAGTGTATCATTCAATAACCTTTATGGATAAAGTTTCGTTGATACCCAATGTGAAAACTAACTACGACCTTTCCGTGTTTTAAATTGTTGTAGCAAGCCAAATCTCTGTTCTGCTCTTTTCTTTCTAATCAGTGATGTGTACTAACGTTTTGTAAGTATTTACAGTAGAGCATGACCAGTGCTGGATTTTTTTAGGTCGATGTCAATATTTGAGAATGATTAAAATCCAATAACAATATATTGGTTGATATTATAATTTGTCTGTTGAAAGTTCATGATGATGATGTCCAGGGTAGGGCATTTAACAGTTAAACCATCAAGTTTATGATCAAAGATGACTTATGGTTAACAGAAGACCAGTAAACATAGCTGGAAAATAAATTAATAACCATAAATAATAAATACATGGATGGAAATATTAACCATAAACAAAAACACAAATATAACATGTATTTAACTTGAATTGAGAAAATTCAGGGAAAAGATGCATACAAATGCATCTTTAGAAGTATTTGTTGATGATTTGTGCATATGTGTTAAAATATACACTGATTTCTTTGATAAAGTATTGATCTATCCAGATGGTAATATTAGTTCAGCACATACAGTCAATCTCTGCTGGCCTGTAGCTGTGTGATGCATCAGTGAGTGCACATATAACTCACTTTATCATAATATTGTTAGTAATTGTGATATTTTTGGTCCTTGCTGGAACCAGTAATTCTCCACAGGGAGTTCAAAGGTCAGGGTCAGCTCCAGGACAGTTCTCCTGATTCATTGCCATGCTCAAGGACACTTCACCAGGGCAAACGTTTTGCTCTCAAAGGGCCTTGAATATAGTTATTCCTAGCTCACTACACCACCTCGCCACCCTTGTTTGTGTAATCTGCTTTTCAGTGTGTTAACGTGGTGTGTGTTGTCTTTGCCAGATCCTGTACCTGTGTTGGAGCTGGCTCAGCAGCTGCAGCTGAAGCTCCAGAGGATGCACGACATTGAGACAGAGAACACCAAACTTCGAGAGACACTGGAGGACTACAACAAAGAGTTTGCAGAGGTCAAAAACCAAGGTTAGAGACAAGACACATGCAGAGGCAAACATTTTGGGATTTTCCTGACTTTGAGAAGGGGCATGGATGTAGGCCGCAGAATTAATCAGATGATCACATATCAAAAGTGTTTTGATGTTACATTGTCGAGTATATTCATCTCCTCTATGACCAGTTACAACCACTGAATGTGGAGAAATGGAGAAGCAGGCAGCCCCAGTGAGCCTAAGTAGTCATATGCATATTGTTATTCAAATGGATAGTTTAACATCTGGCAGAGGGACAACTGTTAAAAATTTGCCTTCTGGCCAACGCTGGCACATTGACAGTGATTCCGATCAATGAGTATCGTCCCTGTAAAAATAAATAAAATGAAATAACTCTCACTAGGTGTGACAGTGCAAAGACTGGATCAGCGCAGTCCCAGAATGACGAGAGTTTGCCAAATCATGAACATGAAAATGTAGTTTATAGGTGATTAATGTCTGTTGTTTGGAAATACTGTACATGGCCATAAGACAAACAATTTGCAAATATTCAATTTGGGTTTTGGCTACAATAAAAGTAGTAATGTAAATATTTTTAAGACTTTAAAACTGTTCCGAATTTGAGAAATGCCTCACTGTCAAGCGTAAAAGTAAACATGTGTAGGAATTTGTAAATTGTAGAGAAAAATAGTCCTTATTTTCTAATCAATATATTACAAAAAACATTTCATATTTTGCCATGGTTAGTCTTGAGGGTGACCTCACAAATATGTTGGCATGTTGTTATGTACACAACCTTTAAGTGCAAACATAAGGTCAAAGAAACATATTTAGAAGCCATTTTCAAAGAATGAGACCACATTTCAACATATTTTAATGTCTTATAAATTTTTCAAAAGCGCAAAAAATGTACAAGGTTTTACATTTTCAAATAGGTTTTCTGGGGAGAAAAAACATGAGGCACAGTTTCATGAATAAAAAACGACAGGCTACCTCAGGGTAAAGAAAGATGGAAAAACTGACAAAGGCAGAGAGATGAGTGAGAAGCAGTAATAAAAGTGGTGTAATTTCAGTCGAAAAGGAGGAGTGAGTGAGTGAGCAGGGAATGTTTTGGAATCCCCCTTTCCTCAGTGAGAGTTAATTGGAACAGCTCGATAGCGGCAGGGTTCCATTCTGCCATTGATTTTCCTGTTCCCTCATCCTTTATCCCTCCTTCCCGCCTCAATAGATGGGGGATATTTAAACCCCAAAACACACTGTGGAACTCCCACTCCTGTTAAACACACATGGACCCGCCCGCACAGTTGCACACGCACGCACACACACACACGTAGAAAGAGTGCAGGGGCCATTGATCCCCGCAACCTAAATGTTTAAAGTTCAGTTAAGCAGTTAAGGGGTAAGAGGGCTCTGAGGGGACTCTCCTCTATTGATTATGTGTCAGAGCAGTGAGACTGGAGTTTAAATCACACGCACACACACACGCACACAAAGTGCTAAGAGCCCTCAGTCAAAGGCAGCAAGCGGCAATGCTCTTTATCATTGTCTCACTCACTTATATCTTTCTCTGAGAAACACACACATGGAGGCCTATTTATTACCCCAGTTATGTGTTAGATTTATTTCAGGCTGCCCCATACAGAGCTCAGCCGTCAGCAGGTTATGGGGTTTCAGTACTAATGCAGGCCTAATGAATACAGCGTATCTACTGTTGGTGAACGTTGAATATTCTATACCAGTCATGGGTGTAAAGATTAGGCAGGAGCCATAGGGACCACGGCCGGGGTCTGTGCTGACAGAGGAAGAATGCAGGATATGAAACACTGTTCCTTAGGCAAAGGTCAAGCCCCCCCCCTCCCCGTCAAAAGCATTACCGTCATCACTGCCATTCATCACATCTAGGAAACCGCTATAGTCTGTTTTCTTCATAATTTTTAAATTGCCCGTATTTATAACTCTTTCTTCTTCCTTCCTTCTTTTCTCTCAACGCCCAACTGTCGGCTTTCACCTTCTCCAGAGGTGACCATTAAGGCCTTGAAGGAGAAGATCCGTGAGTACGAGCAGTCTCTGAAGAATCAAGCCGAGAACCTGGCCCAAGAGAAGCAGCTCCAGCTACACAACGACTATGCAGAGAAGGAGAGGTATAACTTTGTGTGTTTGTGTGTTGCAGCAACTGTGTTTCAAGTAACAACGTCTGGATTATTTTGCCATTTTAAACCTTTGGGTCATTGTGCCCGCAGGCAGAACTACTGAGATTCTAATCTTTAATGATAGGTTTAAGATTTCTGACTTTATTTAGCAGAGCTATTTACGACTTAGTCATTTCTTCTTAGGTAATAATTCTTGGACTATTTCTTGTAGTTATCAGTTTAATCAACAAATTGTTGCTTATTGCTTCCCCGGCATTACCTTCCTTTTGCAGATGAATGCAGGAATGGAAAATAACCTACATAAAACACAATGCCAGCATTTTTGTCATGTGGGTGCTTGCCATTCGTGTCTTGATGGGAATCGACACCACAGACTCCTTTTTTTTTTGTCTTTACCACAATATACTTCAGCCATTTTATTCTGAATAATTGCTGCCACAGGCTTCCTGTGTATCTGAAAATGTACAGTAACCAAATGAAGCCCACCAAATAACTATAATGACAAAAAATGTGCTTAGGTGTCATTTTACTTTTGTTTTAAAAAGTTATTTCCTTTTCAACCCCATTTTTAAGGCATTTTGATGTCAAATCTTCAGATACACAGGAAGCCTGTGGCAGTAATAAATAAACTCTAAATTGCTGCCAGATATTTTAGGAACATGAAACAACAATGCTCACTACTGAAATGATGTTATTAACTCTTACAAAAGCTTGAATGAGTCACCCCGATACTCTCCTTTTCCAGGAATGAGTCTATTCAAAATAAAGATAATTAAACTTTTAAAAAATATTGAAACTTTTAAATGCCCAAGGTGCTGGCAGCCATAATATTGGTTCACTTAACAGCAGACTTGGGCAAATTTCCTCCTACATCGCTCAGTAAATCCAGACTAATATGATGGTGGCTAGTTTAAAGTATCATGTGAATCCACATTAAGTTCAGTTTTTCAAATACAGGTGGAGAATTGAGCTGTCAATTGTAAATGTAGTTATCTTGGATAACTACGTGCTCATTTTTTGAATTAAAGACATTAATAAACATGCGCAGAGTCGAAATGATGAGCACTCATACGATTAGCTTGTGAAGCCTCAGGGCTTAAAGAGACAGCAGATTTTTTTACTGAGAGTAAGCAGGAGTTAAAGGCTATGATGGATGTATCAAATCTGAAAATGTATTTTAACTGGGAAATGTAGCACTACCAAATTCTTCAAACCAATAAACTCTGACGCAACAGATAAAATACAAAATGTCAGTTGTAGATCTCAACAACACAGATTGGACAGAAGAGGATATCCAACTATGTTAATGTACAGTCTTTAGTGTAACACACATATATTAACTAGACATTTCAGCTGTAATACCAAGTGATGGAGACATTTCTGAATTGTTGTAATAAAAAAAAACATGGTAGACTACACATGTCCTTCTCACTGCATCAGCTTATTTGTTTACACAGGAAATGACTTCCTTTATGGTGGTTGATTATTTAGCAGTATTTTGAATACTGCAATCCCTTTCGTGCAACTTTTACCAACAATAGTCTTGTTGTCATTATCACAGTCTTTCTGAAGACAATGTAGTTTAGATTACTTCCTCGCACTTGCATCATATTCTGCTTTAATTCTAAAGCATGAATCACGATTGCTACTGATGTTTTCACACTCCATTACGGTCATTAAAACACTCTCTCAGTGATCATTTTGATAAAAGTCTTTGGCCCACTTGAAGTTGATTTATAAGATTAGTGTTTACCAAATGTACATGTTGAACCGGTATGTGTCAGGCACGACAACTGTGTACAAAAACACTTGCCCATACTTACAGATCTCATATTTTCCCTCCTGTCAATCATATTGTTTTCTGTGAAGCTGTGTTAAAGCTCACTGCCCCTTTCAGACGTACAGTAGAAGATCAATTGTCCAACTGTATTTCCTTTACGTCAGTGTTTTATAGGCCTCTTCCTGTCTGCAGAGAGCTGACTTCCTGTGTCTGAGAGGGGCAGTAAATGGATGGCACCTCTGATGCATTTTATCCTGCAAGGAGTGAGGGAAGGAGGGAGAGCGAGAGAGAGATGAAAGGATGAAGTAGAGGGCAGAAAAATAGAGATGACAGGAGAGACAGATTGGCGGAGAAGGGGGGCATCAAAGAGTGCCATAAAGACTGTCTTTGTGCTAGATTATTGATGTTTTTACACGCAGTGGCAATTTCTCAGCAGAGCCCAACTTTTTATATGCTAAGAATGAATCTATTTTATCCTTGTGGTTTGTGTCGCCCCCCTCCCCCCTCTCTTACTCAACCCTTGCTCTCTCTCGCTCTCTCTCTCTCTCCCCCCCCCCGGGTGCAGTGTGCCCCAGTGGCCAGACATTCCTGCCTAATAGGGCTGCTTAATGAGGAGTGGGTTGTGTTGGGAGGATTTTAGTGGGGAAAACACTTCAGAAATGGTGGGAAAATAGAGAATAGTTGCCACAGAGTGTGAACTCAACATTTACTGACTCAGTATCTCTATCTGTGACTTTCTGCTCCCTGCTTTCTTTTTTCTTGCCTTCTGTCTGGCTCTGTAGGAAACTCCAGGAGAGCCAGGACTCCATGTCCTCAAGGTTGGAAGAGGCCGAACACAAGGCCCAGTCCCTACAGACAGGTACCAGCCTACTCAGTCTTTACAGGCCTAGGTACTGTTTTAGCCAGCTCAGAGAAAATGGCAACCTTATCACTGACTGTGAGCTGGTGCTGGCTCTAAAAGCTCTGAAAACTTGGGTTTAAATCTGAAGTATTTCTCATTTAATGATCCTTCAATGCTAAAGTTCAGAGGAAAACCCCTCATCCCTTGTGAAGGTTAGCACTAACTTAATCTGCTTCATCTGGACTTGGTGGGTGTGGTTTGATCAGATTGA